ATGTACTTGTGGGTCATGTTGGGGTTCATATCCATTTCTACTTCTGTGTAAGAAAATTCCACAGTGTAATTAAACATATATGTGCACATACGGCAAATTCGAAGAGAGAGAGAGTTCTACAGTTTTTATGTAATGCACAGACTTAGTGGCTCCAAATAATGGTCTAGATACGGTGGTTTTTAAACACGATTCTATTGGAAAATTCTAGTTAAGCATCATTAATGTCATCCTACCTCATTTTATTAAAAAGAGAGAAACTGTCGCACACATTAATGGCAGTGCTAGACCTATACCTCAAGCCCGATGACCTCTGGTGGATGGGTGATTGTGTGCATGTGTGTGTGTGAGTGTGCGTAAATCCAAACAAGTTAAAGGCTATCAGAACAAATGGTTATTTGTAATGTTTATTTTTCCCTTCTGCTATAAGACTTATTAGTATTTAAGAATATCTACATTTGTAGCAAACAATATGCTACAGTCGTTAAAAACAGTTGTCTTATTAGGTAAATTGAGTGTGTCTTACAACCTGGCTCAAGCTATTAATTTACCTAGTCAACCATACGTTCATAATATGAGTGCTCAATTACGTGTAGTTAGCTTTAATAGCATACAAAGTGGTTTTAAAAATATTACCTCGACAAATTCTCATATCCATAATCTCTGTCTTTCACTCTCTGAGCCCTGACAACCTGGCCTCCTCCATCAGTAGTCACGCCCAGTGCTTTGGAAACAGGCGTCAGCGATGCCAAGCACAAGCCCTACACACCTTCATCCTGTGCAGTCTCTGCAGCTGAGTACTAACTCAGCTTTTCTGTTTACTCTTCCTGCCTGGGCTTCCAAGACAGTAATACTCTTTAACTTTCCCTCAGTTCTCATTGTGTCTTAGCCTGTTAACAGCACTTTGACCCACTCCATAGGCCCAACACTAGGGTCTCCCCAGAGATCTGTGCCTTTTTACTTTACCTAGCCTCCTTCTGTCATATGAACACTGCTTTCCCCAGCCTCCAGGCCAATCCCAAAGGTATATTCCACCCTCCCCGGCTGCACCACGGGCTTCATTCATGGCCTTGTGGTCAATCCCCACACAGGTAGGGTGACCCAGGGTGTCAAACCCGACTTCTATCTCAGGTTTGTTCCTTTTGCTTGACCCTGTATCTTGGTGATAAAGTCATGGGGCAAACATCCGTAGGTCATTCTCCACCCTTCTCCGTACACCTCACAGCCAACCGTTACCCCACCTTGGGAATCTCTTCTACTTGCTCACCATCTCATCTTCTCGTTCCCAGCCGGGCTTCGGTTCCAGCCCAGGACTGTTTTAAAAGCTACATACAAAACAAAGCATTCTGTAATGCAGTAAGCCACTCCACTGTGTGGCCATCTGTAAGCTCAGGGTTTATGCTTCTAAAGGGTGTTTTGTTGAGTTTGCGATCTAGAGGATAATGGTGAAGAATCCAGGGATTTAAAGTCTCATAGATTTGGTCACATAGATTTGAATTCTAGGCTCCACCATTTCCTACATAGATAACCTCAAGACTGTCGACCCTCATTTTGCTTATGTGAGAAAATACACTCCAACTTGTCCACCATGAATACTAAATGATAAGAGGTTTAGAAAATGTTTAGCATCATACCACACCGACCTCTGGTAAGCACTTAAGAAAAATCATAGTTATTATCCTTCACAAATGCAACAGGGTACTATTCATTGATTTATAACTTTTCTCACAGGATAACATGGATAGTCTTCAGATGAAATGAACTTGCCTGTTTTCATGTTTCATTGTATAAATGCACCATGGCATACTGAACTTGCCACCAGAATTCTTCTGGCTAATGTTGCATGTGGGCCGGTGTAAAGAAAATGGCAACAAAGTCTAATGAAGAGCATGGTTTTCAGGCCCTTGACACACATCCACGAGTGTTTCCTGGGGGAATCTACCAAGGTATACACTCCATCAATAAAGGGATTACTTAGCAACTCCACCTACCATCGCAGTGACAGCTCTAAAGGGCAAATATGCTCACGGGCCCCTGACCTTCAAGGAGTCCCACATCACATGCAGAATGGAAGCTGGGCTGCCCCTCAAGCCTGGCTTCCCACTGACTCTGTCTTTCTGCTTCTTGCCAGCCAGCAGTGTGGCCCGACTTGGTCTCCAAACCTCCCCACTTAGATGTCCAATGGGCATCTCACACTCAATAGGCCCCAGACTGAAACTGTGACCTTCCCCAACCAATTCCAGTCTGCCAGTTTCTCAAGCCTGAGTCGTTTTTGACTTTTTCTCTTACAACAACACATCATTCCCAGCAAGAAATTCCAATGGTTCTGACTTTTAAAAAATACCCCAAATCCAATCACTTCTCCACTGCCAATTGATACCCTGTACTGAGCCACTGTTCTCTCTCACCTTGATTAAGAAAACTTCCCAGGTAGTTTCCCCATTTCTTCCTTTGTGCTCCTATAGTTAACTTGAAACGTGATAGCTCACAGGATCGTTTTAAAGCACGATATAGGTTTTCAGGCCTTTGCTCAAAACCCCACTAGGGTTTTCAACCCCTAAGGTGAATCCAGACTCCCAAGGGCGGCCCACATAGCTCTGAGAGACCCGGTCTCCTTGCTCCTCTGACCTCATTGCGTAGTTTGGTCCCCCTTGCTGGTTTCATTCCAGCCCAATCACTCCTTATTAGGCCTCCAGTACCCCAAGCAGTTTCCTGCCTGGAGGCTCTTGCAACACTATTCCTTCTGCCTGGAATGAGCTTCCAGATGCAAAGGCAACTCAATTCTCCATCCTCCTGCGTGCTTTACTCACACAAGTAACACCCAGACTGGCCAAATCAACACTGCAAGCACACGCACTCCGGATTCTTTTCTATCATTTTTAAAGCATTGCCCACACACTAGCATACTATGCAATTTACTCTTTAAAGTTAAAGAATTTAAACCCTACAGGCGTAGTGGTCCTTCTCTGTTTTGTTCAATGACCTATTTTGTGTGCCCAAGGACAGACAATACCTGGCATCTAGGCAGGCTCACATCAAGTGACACCCAGGAATAATAAAACACCCCAGATAATGTCTTGCCCGGTTTTATGCTGTGTATTCAAATGATTTGGAAGAGAAGAGCAGAAAAGCAAAGCGAGAAGTCAGAATGCAATGGGGGCAGCTGTGTTGCATCCACAAGGACCAGCTGTGACGCGTGCCTGAGCAGGCCCTCTTTGCCAGGTGACCCAGGGTGCCCCACATCCACTTTTCTATAAGACAGCAAGCTGAGCTTCTATATTCAATCTTGCAGTTTTAAGATTTTGACAAGTGACATAAATTTATGCAAAAAATAATTCTGACTACCTTCCTTGGTGACCACATGTTTACAGTATTTGGATTTATCTCGTACACTTTTATAACTTTCTTGTGTGAATATTCTTCTCTTTATTGTTCAAGTTGGCATCATTTCATTAAACTCAGGAAACCGATGAAAATGATCCAACACAAAGGAGAGGTCAGGCAGACTCTACCACAGCCTGCAATGCTGGGTCTCTCCTTCCAGGGCTGCTGGAATAACACCCACGCCTTCCCACATCTCAGCTGGGCTCCTCAGGGGCTCCTATGCTCCTCCCTGTCTCGGGGCCCACCACATTCTGGGGTCAGGATTCGCATGGCACCCACCGGATCCTCAGCTAGGCTGGGAGCTTGGCACAGTAAGCATTTTGTTCAACGAAGGACTGAGTTGCACAGAAAAGAGATCAAAACCCAGAGAGCTGAAGTTACAGTAAATATGTGCAAAGCCTCATGAGAATACAGCCTTTAAACAGGGCAGACCGACAGCTCATGGCTAATGAGCTCAAAGTGCAATCTGAAGAAACCCAACTTAATGCTGCTTTCCTGTAAGTGAAGAATTACTTAAACATTTCATCTCTAGAAAGTAACTTTTTGATTTTTGCTATGGATTCATTATTAGAAACACACAACAAACATTTCTTTAAGTAGATGCTGAGCCTTAGGCCACCACGTATAAATGCCTTAGTGAGATGGGGCTATGAAATCACGAGTTTATATGAATAGGCAGACAGAGCTACAAAACAGAAGAAAACCTCATATTTACAATGGTGTCACATGTAATAGAGTATTCTAAAGTCAAACAAAAAATGCTATCCTAAAATCCTAAAATGCTATCATCTTGTCTCAAAAAATATAAACATTATTCGTAATTTCCATTATAATTCGTGTTTCTAAAAATATTTGTAATGCCAAGAAAGCATTATTTTTTAGAGAGCTATAAATTTATTTAGAGGGAAAACATTTTTTATACAATTACTGCAGCCCTAAGTAAGCCAAAGCAGAAAAATCAAAGGCTGATAATTGCGTTTTCACATTATTCCACTAGATGGCAGCATGCAACTGAACAACCTGGATCGTGCAGGGGTGTATTCACTAGAACAATAGAAGCCTTTCATTTTGTGATCTTCCACTAGCGCTTTGGTAACTCAGTCTACAGTATGTTTTCGTGTATATTTCACTTTGGTAAACCCAGCTCTTAATATATTCGTGTAACAGTTTTGTAAGTATTTATAGTCGGATCGTTAATTTTGAAACATCTTAATTTTCTTCTCTACCACATAATCCCCCCCAAATTCTTTTGATCCCATTGAAAACCTTCAAATACTTGAAGCCCGGGGATGATGCTACATTCAACACAAACATGCGCCTGCTTATCTTGCTGAGTTATTTCTTCCCATATTACAGATTTTTAAGAAAAGATTAGTGGCGTGAACAGGGTATTTTTCACTTTCTACATCACACAGTCACTGAGTATGCAGTATGAGTGTGCGTTTTGTTATTTTCCTTTGTTCCCCATTGGCAAACCACACGCTGGGTCACCAACGCTGTCTATACTGATCATTCTAGTACTAACGTGTAGCTACTGTCATTGATCCCCTTATTTTAGGCTTATTAAGTGGTAGAAAGTCATGATGGAAACAATATCAAAATCTTGCAGATTTTCTTACATCATTTGTACTCTTATCTTGCTTTTCATATTTCTCTCGGTCATAAGCCATTTTCTTCAGCAATTTCTTCATAGCCTTTTTGTCCTTTTTATGACTTTCAGCGTTTTGCTTCCTCACTTGGTTAATGATAAACTTGGGAATCTACAGAAAAAAAAAAGAAATGAAATTTGGGAAGGAAAGGATAAGGCACTGTTTTAAACAGAAGTAATTATTTCTTAAACTGTGAGAGGAAAAGTTATCCTTGATAGGACGATGCTGTTCTATAAACGTGATTCGTGAGCTCCACAAGGTCTACGCAGCATACAATGTCATTCGCCACCCACTCTGAGCTTCTGAAAGAGCTCTGTGAGGTTCAAGGGCCCCGGGACCTCTTCTATGCTGCAGAGGTCAAGACTGGAGGTGCCAAGCAGACTGTGGGGGCCACCACTTGGCAGTCTGTCCTGTTAGTGGCCGCCTCTCCACAGCTCCTGTAGCTCCTATGGTCCCTTTCTGATAGCTGGCCAGGCTCTGCTGTTGAAGAAAGAAGCACTCACCAGCAGTGAGCAAGAGCCGCCAGCTACACACGGAGCAACAGTCCAGGAAGACTCTGCTCTCAGAAGTGACGTCGGCAACAACGTATTTTAAGTTACCGAGAATGTAAAGGAAATAATGTGTGCGTGTTAAGAATTATGATTTAATAACTGGGCAGTGATTTTTAAAAACACTTGAAGTCACCTACACATCAGATGCCCTTTATGGCATATAAAATTAAAATTTTAGGGAAAAAATAACTTCAGAATCTAGATATCATCATTCTGTCTTAATATCTTGAAGTTCTTCAAATAAGCAATTGAATACTCAACATTATAATTTCGCTTAGAATTTTATTAGTTCATTTTTCCAAACATCTATGAAATGCCTCTCCCACAAACTATCCATTTTACTGAACAATGAGACCTGAATCAACCAAGCCTCCTGGCCACCATGTTGTCCTATCTGTCAAAATCAAGCTCTGAATAGGAGTAAAAGCAGAAGCCATTTGCAAGACTCAGCAATCAGGCACAAAATGTATGCATTACATAACAGGACACAAGACACAGAAGGGCAGCAGCGAAATTCCTGAGGCCAAGACAGCATCAGCCTTGAAAAAGACAACAGGCATCAGGCGTAGTTGCGCACACCTGTAATATCAACACTGGGCAGGCTGAGGCAGGAGGATCGCCATGAGTTCGAGGCCAGCCTGGGCTACATAGCAAGACCTTATCTCAAACAACCAACAAAAAAAGATATATAAGAAATAAATGTAAAAGACAATAGGCATGAATACTGACTAAAAGGGAAGTGCTCAGAAGTAACTAAAGCTTTATACAAGGTACATTTTCTTCACATGATTTTGTGATTTTAAAATAGAAATCCAGAGGGTCTCTTTACCCATATAAATCAAAAGTCCTTTAATATTTCCTACACTCACAAATTTTACATGTAATTTTACAAAGCTCCAATACATTTTTTAAACCATTAAGTATATTACATTTTTAATATCAGCTTTTTAAAATTATGCTCAAAACTGCTATGATTATGCTAGAAAATTATACGGTAATTCTATGGTCTTGAATGCAATTTAGAGATAATATACTTACTGTCCATAGAAGTTTCTGATACTTAATCAATAAGTGCATGGTATTTGCTGTCCCAGCTGCCATTACAAATTCTCGCTGTTCGCTGGACTTCAAACCCAGCGCATGACACATAAAGAGATTTGGGGCCATAACCATTGCTACATTCATGACTGTCATTTTATTTTTCTCTTTATTATCTATGACTCTTTGGAGAAATTCAAGCAGAGCCTGAAAAAGAAATAGATTTGTGTCACATACCAACATGAGATCAAAGTACGGTAGCATTCAGGATGTTCATGTCATCTAAAGCTCAAGTTGGGGGTAACCACATCTGTCAGCTGTGTCTGTCCAGCACGGCATCTCCATGTGGGAGATGAACCCTGAGACCCAGGGCTGAGCCAGGAGGGAGACAGGAGTCACAAAGCACTGAGAAGTGGTTTATAAAATAACGTACATTCACTCGTTCTGGAAGTACTATGCTCTTATCGCTAGAGATTAAAAAAGAAAGTCCTTAAACTGGCTCATTCTTCGTCAGTTTCCTTGCTTTAGGAGCTCAGTAGCAGGCTGGACAAAAGCCTAAAAAGAATGAAGACTGTGATGGGCAGGGAGGAGGAGGAGGAAGATCAAAGAGAAGAGAGTTCAGGACGGAGGGAGGGCAGGAGTGGTGAGGACTTTTCCCCAGCACGGGCTAGATGATGCTCAGCGTGGTGACACCCATTTGCACCTCTACTGCCGAAACCCTGGTCCAATCCCCTAGCCTGCTCCATGGGTCACCCTACACTGCCCCAGATGAGGAAACGGAGCCACAGGGCCAGCACATGGTGGAGCAGGAATTTAACTGCTAGTCCATTTGGCTTTTATTTCTGAACTCTTAACTGCTAAATCATGCTTCCTATGTAGCCTAACATCCCTACTGAAAAAGTGTAAATATACTCTACCAAAATGGAAAAGAGGAGAAAAACATGTCCTCTACATGAATTCAGAGTTTAAGAACAAAGAAAGAAATTCCTCTAAGTGCCCACAAGTTGATCTTTAATCAAGTTTAACTGCGAAGTAGGCCTCAAAAATTTAAAACCAACACAGAACTTTAATATCTAACCATAAGATTTATATAACTAATTTCTGATAGAGTACTCAGAACATCAAATTGTAACCTAAGCATAACACTACACAGGAACAAGAAGTTCTCCAATGAAGCCAAAAGATTAATTGCACTTTGGAAAAAAGTTATTTAATTCTGTTCCACAGAGACCAGAATAATTGTTCAGGGACTAGTGCATCATTTTCTTTATGAGCATAAATTACAGAGATTAAGTAACTTTTTAAATTGTGGGGTGCATAAACAGTAAGATTATTCACCACTGCCGGAATACTAAAGCAAAGGAAGGAAGGAGAGAGAGAAATGGAAGTTATGGGAAGAAGGAAGGAACCAAGGGGCAGAAGAGGGAGAGGAGACAAAACAGGAAGTCACTAAGAGCTTAGCCTTGCCCTTGCTGAAAATCCCAAAGTATATTCTTTTCACCTACATTGTAAGAAATCCTCTTAAAATATTCACTGCCAGGTATGGGGCCACACACCTATAATCCCAGCACTAGGGAGGCTGAGGCAGGAGGATTGCTTTAAATTCAAGGCCAGCCTGAACTTCACAGAGAGACTCTGTCTCAAAACAAACAAAACAAGAACTTATGAGCCTGGTGCTACGGGATCCAGTTCCTAAATTGGGGTCAGCACGGCTGTTAGCTGTGTGATCCCAGCGTAAGCTTTTTACACCCTTTTTTATTTCTAAGTGGACATAGTAGTTTCCTGTTGTGAGAGACAATATGGGAATGCATAAAACAAAACTAAAACCATACAAGCATAAATGTCAATCATTTTATTAATATGGATCCCTCTTGAAAGTCTTAAAATCAGTCTTCGCGCTTCCCCTGGGTCAAAGATGGGTTTGATTATTGGTCCAAATGCACAGTGATCCAAGGCAAAGGCAATTCGGGCCAGCAGCTCGCTCTAACACGCTGGTCACTCAGCACCAGGCCAGGATGTGGTGTTCAGCTGGTGGCCTCCGAGCCTTCAGGTTGCTGCCAAAATACACCCTGACCAAGTAGGGGTGGCACTGAGGAACCTGAAGAACCCCGCACTGGCCTTCCTGAAATTACATTGCCACAGAGTTTCCCTCCTCGCTTATAAAGCTAAATTTAAGCCGGGTGGTGGCACAGACCTGCAATCCCAGCACTTGGGAGGCTGAGGCAGGAGGATCACTGCAAGGCCAGCCTGCGCTACATAATGAGTTCAAAGCCAGCCTGAACTACACAGAGACACCTTGTCTCAAAAACAAAAACAAAACAAGCTAAATTTACAGCTTAGAAATCTATGGTTCATAGCTTCCTGTTACCATCCTTTAGTATTAGAATTCTTGCTTCAAACCTTCTTGAAAGCTGGGCAATTAAGTCACTAAAGCTCAGCAAATAAGTAAAATCACTTCTTAGGGTCTCCTAGTTTTTAATCCCCCCAAAACTATTTAACTTCTTAATTATAAAATTGCAAAGAATTAAAAGCTGCCTTAAAATTATATTCTTAAGACAGAATTGTTCCAAGACTGTGCTTGAGAATTTGAAGACAAAGTCTGAAGAAGAGTTCTAGACCCGCCTGGGCCAACAGACAGCAGCCACAGTGGAGGAAGTGTTTCCGCCTGCGGCTCTGGGATCCCATTTGAACCTGGGTATATTTTAAGGAGGCTGCATGCTTTTCACTTCCCACCCCATAGGGCTCATTCCCAGGGCTGTCGCACAAATGGGGGCCTCTGTATGAGTGAGAAACGATGCTCCTGCCTGCCTCTGTGGGTGCGGGAAACTGGCAGGTGCAGGGCTGGCTCGGGTCCTGGGCAGGTTCCAGACACAATGTCCACAGCAAGCCTCAGGAGTCCTGGTCCAGACAAGCTAAGGACCTGAGCTCATTCCACGGCCACCAAGGAGCAACATTTCCAAGATTTACCACCATCAAGAAATACCTTGACATGAGATTTCATTTTATAATAGAAAGAAATGTACGGAATAAAGAGGCAAAGGCCCCACCTATTTAAAAAAACATGTTTAAGGTAATATCAAAGCATAAGTAAATGTTCTTTTATATATTATTTTCCTTTTTAAATAAACCTTTTCTAACAACTCTATTAACTTAGGCCATTAAGATAAATCACTATGGAACAATTCACACTGATTATAACAGCTTCTAATAATACTTGTGATAAACGGTATTAAATCGTATGGCTCTTAGAACAAATCGTTTTAAACTGATATAAATCAGAAACTTAAGCCCTTAAAGAAAGGAGAATTTCTTTGAGTTGGTCGACCTTTAGGCTAACAAAGACGTGAAGCTGCCATTAGGACCAACTTCACACTCTTACCACTTGGAACATCAAACAACCGCATCATCTTTAGACAAGAGTTATATTTCATGAGCCTTAGGATTTTTATTTTAAACATTTATTTCCCCTCCTAAACACATGCTCATAAAATAAAACTTGGAAAATCCAGAAAACTAGAAAACAAAAAAGTATCTATGTTTCCATTAACCAATGAACTGTTATAACCTGCTTTGGTAGAACAATGTTGTAGTGAAAATTCAAAACCAAAGCGTAATAACAACCAGTAAGTAGTCAAAGATTGTCTTACCATCTGTCCCTAAAATAGGTCTTTTCATTTTAGACTTAGTAACATTTCCAATGTAAACCTCAAGTTGTTTTGCCACAATGAGGAACAATTACCCTGGTTGGTTCTAAGGGGTAATGAAGAGAAATCAACGCAGCTGACCTTCAGAGTGTCTCTGTTGGCATCAGGCAGGAGGACGACCAGGAGGTTCAGGGCCTGCAGCTGCTGCTTCTTGGTTGGAAGATCTGCAGACAGACAGATAAATCTGAACTCTTCTCTATGGAACATTTTCCTGTACTTTCTTTTCTCATTTTCCAAGAAAAAGTTATTTGGCATAAACATTGCAGTAAAACGTACGACACGAAGCCTGAGCAGCGAGCCTCGTTGGGCGAGTGTTTGTGGGGATCAGTGGTAGCAGCTGCTCGGCACTTCCTGCCTCGGATGCTCACTTCCAACTGTGATCAGATGATGAGCAGCAGCAGCCGTATGTTTGCAGACACACACAGTGCTTTGGAAATCATTCTAACTTCCCCGTGACAATTATTCCCCAATGAAAACACGCACAAGATCGGACCTTCCGTGAGAGTGTCAGGGTGCCACTTTAATGGTGAAGTTTATTTCTTTTAATGGCGAGCAGATATATTTTGGGAGGGTCCATTAATTCCAAGAGCAGGGTGGAAAACTGGGCCCGGAATACAACAGGTGCTTAGCACCACTCGTGGAATGAATCAGAGAACTGAGCAGCAACTAAAGAGCCTGCAATGTGTCCGATCATCACTGACGCTACTGCTTTCAGTAGTTCACCCTGTGTAAGAAATACTCAAAATGTACAATCAGCTTAGCATTACTTTGTCAGAAATAAATTTGGTGTTTTGATCCATATCCTGGAAATGTAAGCAAAATACCATAACCATTAAAACAATATTTTAATCAGAAGATCTCTGTTGGGCCGGGGATTTAGCTAAGTGGTTTTGCTGCCTGCTGCGCAAGCGCAAGGACCCGAGTTCGAGCCCCGGTACCAAAAAAAAAAAAATTTGTTTGCCTGTTAAATTAATCTCTTAAGAACAAACTTAACATCAGATTTCACATCTCCCTTAAAAATCTTGAAGAAATGGTACATGACTCAGGAAAGTATCTCAATATCGCTTTCCTTGAGAGCCTGCGACATCTGACTGAAAATGTAACTATTCCAAGCGCCCTTCTCCCTCTCTCAAAAAAGTTACAGTTTGGAAGCTAAAGATGTGTTTATTCGAACAAAATGATGAAATAAAATGAATAAACCTCCCAAGATCTCTACGTCCTCCGGAAAAGGAATGAAGACAACGACAAACATCAATTTGGAGCCTTCCCAAGACCACAGAACGCCGACACACACACAAAGTGTGGCCCTCCACCAATGAGGCAACAAATGCTGTTCCAGGCTTCCTAACAATCCCAGAACTAGATTTTTCAGGAAAGGCTCCCAGCTTCTCCCACGACTCCTTGTGCTTTTCATGTAAACTAACGATTAATCCTCAGCTCCTCCAGTAAGCGTTGCTTTTAATGCTTGGCAAGAAAATGTATCAGAGATCTGTGACTCATTCCATTATGAAAGGAATGGAAGTTTCCAGGTTTTTACTCGAAAACGTTTTGCTTCAATGCTGTGTCATTAATCTACACCCAAAGAGGACACTGTTATCTATTTACTCAGATGTGTATTCATGGAAGAACAGGAGACACTGCATGGCCTCTGGGTGCTGTGGAACTTGTCAGCTGACGTGTCTACCCATGTGCATCCGGTTGTGTGCCTCGGGTTGCCCAGTGTCATTCAGACAATCAGCATGCACAAGGACGGCTGCAAAGCATGTGCACTTACTCTGGACAGCCTGGAAGGCCCTGAGGTGCTCTGCACCAAGCAGCGGCTGGGGCAGCTCCCGCACGAAGAGCTTCAGCAAGCTGGCCGCGTCGTGCTGTTTGACGTTTTCCCAATTAAAAGTCCCTTCGTAAAACTTTGCTTCTAGTTCTTGGCAAAGATTCTGAATGGCACAAGGACAAAAAAAAGCTATCAGTAAGTGCATTTGTCCCCCTGCTGAGAGTGTGAGACATTTTCCACTTTATAAGAATTCTACACTGAAAAACCTATCAAGTATCCAAAGTCATTACTCTGTTACTCAGAAAAAACCGATGGCCTCCTACCCTGGTTGTACTACTGAGGAGAAATTTTACCTAACACACACAAAAGTATTTTCTTATTTACTCAACAAACTTTAAGTAGTAAACATTTAATGAAAAGATGAAAAGATTAAAGTCTTTCCATTTGAGGGCTGCTCCAAGACTCTGCAGTTCTTCAGTCTATTAAAGAAAGACTGTTTTCAATTATTTAGAAGCGTCTTACATAACAAAATGCACCATCGATCTCGGGCCTAAAGCAGATTACCTCTGGTTAGTCACCTGTGCGAAAGGGAACATCCAATGTCTCAGCAAATGAGGCGCGAAAACACATCAGTGTCTCTGTCCCCGACATACAGCTGCCTACCACCACCTCAAGAAACCAGTCTGCATTCACGGAGAATTGAGAATACCTAGTTCATTTACCTCAAAGACACCACAAAACTCACCAGCCAAAAGTACGAGTAAATCAATTGCGTCTGTTTCTTTTTTTCTACACGCTTATTGCTGGGGTGTAGATGCCATCGTGTTGACGTCCATCCAAGTTTGGGGACTTCTATTATTTGAAACCATGCCCTCCACCCCTCAGTACAGCTGGGCCGGGAACCCAGGGACTCCACATCCAGGCAAGGCCTCTTCCACGGAGCTATGGCCCCAGCCCTTCTTTTCCTTTTAAAATGAATTTACCACATTTGTTCTTCCTAACCCCAAACCTATCCTCTACCCTAATTACTTTTGTAATTGGTAAAAAACTATGAGGCTAAGCTAGAAAGGGGTAGTGGGGTAAAGAGAGGGAAGGAGAAAAGAGAGAGAAAAAGAAGGGTAGAAGGACGAGAAAAGTGCAGAAGGAGGGGAGGAGAGAGCAGAAGAGCACGAGGAACTTCGGTGGAGACGAGAGGCAAACAGAGAATGGAAATCGGGCTTATCTTTAGGTTATTTCTAATGGATCGCCTGCCACACAGTCAGGCCGGGTGCAAGAGCGAACACTGGCCTCCTGTCACAGAAGGGATGCACGTGACACTCCCATCCTGCACGGACGTGAGCACACCGGTGAGCCCCGTGCACCGACCACAAGGGCCCTGAGCGGCCCACTGGGCAGCAGCATTCACACCGATGCGAGTTCAGGACGTCGGACGTCGCGTGCGTGGGTGAGTCGTAAGAGAACACATCCCACACAAAACCCATCTTGGAAGCACACACCCCGCCCAGGGCTGACTGAGAGCTCGCCTTGCCTTGCCATAGGTGTGGGGAGGAGAGAGACAATCACAAGTTGTCAAGCTGACAAAGACTCAGAGCACTGCTGGGAATATCTACACAAACGCGAAACCTAGGGGCACGAGCTGAAATTTGAGAATGAGGAATATCGGGGTCGCTGGAATCCTCTAAAAAGGAGATCACTGTAAGAGCCACGTAGAACGCAGCCAGTGCTCTAAAGGAAGGAGATTTATCAAAATAAGCAGGCGATGCCAACCGTGGGAAGCACACAGAGTAATTCCAACCCTGGCAGTGCCTTGGGCTGGCAGTTCCAGGCCAGGCCAGGCCCCACCCACTGAGAACACCCTGTGCTGATCAGCACTGCGGCCTTCATCAGAATGTCTAAAGGAACAAAGGAGAAGATCTCGCCCCTCAATCTTCTGATGGGTTTTCAGATCCAAGATAACATCTAGGATGTGGGCAGTTCCTCGTGCTATCTCAGGATAGAACGAAGCTGAACTTGGAAGATAAGAGACAGCAAATGACTGTTAACAAACATTTTTGCTAGATAAATTCTTTACACAGAGCTACATGTTCAAGAGGGAATGTCCTTTTAAAATGCAAATCCTCCCGGGAGGCAGATGTGGGATGCACCATCTGCAGGGTCATTCCATGTGTGTGTGTGTGTGTGTGTGTGTGTGTGTGTGTGCGCGCGCGCGTGTGTGTGACTGAGGATTGGACCCAGGGCCTTTGCTCTGAGTCACATCCCTAGCCCTTTCTTCTAAAGTTTTTCTTTCAAATATTCGCTTTTGTTAGTCCATGTTTGGAGTATGTAAGGATCACATTCATCACGGGGAGTTGGTAGTGTATACAGCACATCTCAATCTTTTTTTCATCCCCTTCCCCTTCCGTCCTTCCTACCCTTCTCCATCCCCTGGTGCTCTTCACATTTGCAAAAGATCTGTACTCCCAGTTGATACAGGGTCTTGCTAAATCACTAAGTTGCCCAGGCTAGGTTTCGACTTGCCATCCTCCTGCCTCAGCCTCCCAGAGTGCTGGATTACAAGTGTGAAGCACCATGCCTGGCTTCATTCCATCTTTCCTGTGCATTCACTGGAAGCTTTCTTTCCCAGACTAGGACTGGGGCACTGATGGAAGGCGGGTGCATGGTATCCTGGCATGGTGGGAAGGAAATGCCACACAGAGGAAAACAGGGCGAGCGAGGAAGAGGTAAATGAGGGTCAAATTGGAAAGTCAAGGAAGCCCCTCCCTTCAGAGTCAGGCTCCCCCAGCTCCAGGGGGCTGTGCCACTCGGGAAGTGCCCGTGCCGCCTCGCCAAGACTAATAACGCACGGGAGCCCGTGTCACAGTGCGCGGTCGGCTCTCCTGCTGGAGTCTCAGGTTCCTGACCTCTTTAAAAGAAAAACTCAACCGCCACTTCTCACCCTGACTGCAGCTGTCCCCAGATCCCCTACGGACATGTCTATTCACAGTGTCCTCTTTATCATAGCCTTATTACAGGTAGTACAGTGAACCTGAAAAATAACAGCTGATAGAAAAACAGAAAGGATTGTAGAAAAGCTAAAGGCATACTGGGTGCTAGGAGGTTTTCTTGTTTTATTTTACCCACTTGGCTACCAATAGGAAAAGGGGTGGGGATGAGAAGTTGTATTTTAAAATGCAAAAGTGTAATGCAGCAATCAAATTGTACATCAGCAGAACCCGAGGCCACGTTACCTTAATTCTAGTGGCAGCTCCGGGGATCCTTAAGAGGCCCTCTGTTTCCAAACCTCCCTCTTCGATTCGAGAAATCAGCTGTGGGCAACAGAAAAACGTCATGATTTTGCTATTTGTAACAGGTACAATTTAACATCTGTTTTGTATAGGAATAAATGAAAGCTGATCACAGTGACATCTAAACTAGATTTTATGAGGTTCTGAATGCTTTCCTCAAAACAATAAGTCCAAACACTTTAGCTATGATTTAGAGAAAGTTGGGTCTTGTTCTACTTTATAACAAAACAGATGTAGTCTTCCAAACAGAGAACTGTTTAAAAGCAACTTCCATTTCGCCTACCAAATAAATCTCATAGAATTGTAGTATTTGTACATTTACATCTCATTTCTGGGTGGTTGTTCCAGGAAAAATTATGATAGGAAGAAAAAAACTGCTAATATTCTCTTTTGGGTGGTGGTCCTGGGGATTGAACCTTGAGATAGAACCCCAGCCCTGTTTGAGATAAGATCTTGCTAAATTGGCCAGAGTGGGCTCAAACTTATGATCCTCCTGCCTCAGCCTCCCAGAATATTGGGATTACAGGCATGCACTGTGACACCTGGCTTAATACTCACTAACGCCTTTGGTGGTAAACTTTAGGAAAAACGCTCTTGAGGAGGGCTTCTTCTAAATCCTAACTGATGCTTTATTTCCAGAACCTCACGCAAATAAGGTTTTCTTTAACTATAGTAGCCAGAGAGTCATGACAATAAGGCAAATGAGGGAACTACAGGGACAAACGCTTGGAGACTATCAAGGAGATAAAATGCAGTCCTTTTCTTGGCAGAGCCATCTTCATTTGGAAGACCGGAACTTGCAGTGTCAGGCAAGGAGAGAGGTCCGTTCTGCTATTCTGAAGGAAACTAGTTCCCAGGTCCTCAGTGTGAACGCAAGGCATCCACACGCCAGAGGGTCTGCTTCCTCCAACACTCACCCCTTCCCACCTCTCCTGGTCTGTAACAGACTAGGCTTCCCTTCCCTGCCATCTTTTATAAAGTATCTCCACACCCTAAAGCAGAAAACCAGCCAGACAGCAAAGAAACGTAAATAATTATTTTTCTTCAGGGACTTCTTCACTGATTAACAAAGGCTCTATAAACCACAGAGCCTGGTCCTGTTTTTCCTTGCATACGAAAGTGTTAGGAGCCGGGCGGGCGGGCCATCATAAAGCAAGCCTTTGTCCTCTGTAGGATGCTCTCAACTCAGGTACAGGGCAGTGAGCAAAACCTGGAAGGCATTGCTCTTTAATGACCTTACCTCTTAAATCCTTGCAATGGTGATGGCCAAAGACGCGCTCACAGAGAGGGACTCGGGTAAGAATCAGACAAAGAATAGTCTCAAAATTCTCCTAAGGGCCAGGCCTTAATGGCACAGAGCCTCTAATCCCAGCATTTGGAAAAGCTGAGACAGGAGGACTGCACATCTGGGCCCACCCTGGGCAACTAAGTGGGCCCCGTGACAATAGAGTTAAAAAGCAACAGGGACAAAGCTCAGGGTGGAGGCCCTGGATTTACAGCCAAGTGATGTCCAAACTATCCTGGTAGTTTATTACTAGCTGAAGCATCTTTGACCAGTAAGACAGCAAATGGTTTTTTTAAAACATTTCAACTGGGATATTTTTCAAAACCACATTTTTGCAATTACACTGGATAGAATCCCGAAGCAAAAATTATACGAATTATTTTAATTAAATGGGCATTATTGGATATATTTGTAAGCATTCAATTTCTATAAGTACTAAAATTTATTTATAAATACAACTGATTTTATCTTACTTTATAAAATGTTTAAATATTTTATAGTCTAATAACAAAAAATAAAATTGTATGCTACCCGCTGAGGTAAACTTTTTAATTTACATGACTTTTAGTTTATATGACTTTTGCTTTCATTAAATACACAAAAAGTTCTGCTCTCTAACTGAAGGGGTTTTTATATGAGTCCTTTTTATTCTCTAAAGCTGAATACCAACATCTAACAGAGCTGCACTGTCTGATGAATACATATTGTCTGAAAGAACCATAAATGTTTTCATATTTCTCACTTTCAAAAATAACATTTTGAAAGGCATGGTGGCACACCTCTGTAATCACAGCTGCTCAGGAGGCTGAGGCAGGAGGATTTCAATTTCAAAGCCAGAGGGGGGCAAATTAATGAGACCCTGTCTCAAAATAAAAAGGGTTCAGGACATAGGTCAGGGGTAGCATGATTGCTTAGCATACATGAGGCCCCGAGTTCAATTTGGTAACACTAAAACAAAAAGAAATAATTATCTTTAGCTATTACATTATATTACATTATTAAAATGTAATAATACTCCATAGCTTTCCTTTAACTTATAAAACTTAGAAGATAAAAAATAACTATATTTTTCCATATAATTATATTGTTTTCAGTAATTCATCTTATATGACCTGTATTTTAACAGTAATTCATAACATTTCTCAAAATACGTAAACTCAAAAATGAAATGAAAATAGTCAGACTTTTTTTGATACAAAGTATCAAAGCATGTTTCATATGCCTGATTAGTCTTATAGTGAGAATGCTGGCATTTCTGAGTCTACTATAAAGCTATCTTTCTCCATAGATTAAAATTAACATTTTTATTTCTCCAAGCCCTTCTGACAATATGCTGTAAAAATGTGCCTCTGTACAAAACACTAGAGAGGAAAAAAAGAAAAACAGATACAATTCGTTAATAATAGATAAGCTTTATTAGTATCCTTTTCTTTGTATATGGGATTTCTTCAAAATTAAGGTATAATCCCTGAGAAGTCTGGTGATCATTCGTTTTGTTAATCACTGGTTTCTAATTCTTTCCTTTTTACAACATTAAGTTGTCAGCTGATGATAAATCATAACATAATTTCCATGACAGGGCACTGTGATTTACTGCTCCTAGTTCAGGGGGATTCAGACAGAGGAGTGTTTCCTACAAGCAAACCCTATATGCCCTTTTATTTTATATATGAATAAAAAGCACAGGGCTCTTATCCAATACTGCAAACTGGTAGGCTTCCAGAGTCTCCAAAATGTTGAAGAGACCAAACAACAATATAACAAAATAATCAACAATTTCAAGAGAAATGACAAAAACGATTTTTCTTAAGATGCAATCCACAGCCAGCTCCAGAACCTTATAAAGACCCAAGCTTGCCGACCTTCCCTGGTAGGTTTCTGTGTGTGTTGACCTGGTACAGGTATTGTGTTCAGTTCAAACACCAATCTAGATGGTCAATGACCACATTTTCTTTTAGATGTGATTAGAGTTTAAATCAGTGGAGTTTGAGTAAAACAGATTCATTCTCCTCTGTAATGCTGTTGGTGGGCCTCATCCAATCAGTCAAAGGGCCAAAAGCAAAGACTGGGCCTTCCCCAAAAGCAGCTGTTCTGCTTCAAACCTGCAGCATCCACTCTTGCCCAAGGCTCCAGCCTGCTGGCTGCTCCACTTATATCAGACTTGTCAGTGCCCACAAGGATGTGATCAAATTCTTTATGATAAATCTCTCCATCTTTAGGCATATATCCTACTAGTTCTGTTTTTCTCAAGAACCTTGGCTGGTTCACCTGGGGAAGACACTGCTGACCTCCCTGCTTTGCGAAGCCACCTCTGTCTAATATTTCCCCTTTATTGACACTCGATTTGAATCTACAGCCTGCATTTGTCACCTCTCAGTTACAGGTGCTGTTGACGACTGCTCCTTCAGATGCTGGCTCTACAGGCAGTGGCTGATGGGCAGGGTAAACTGCAGAACCTCGTTCACCAGGAGAGACCCTGGGTGAATGTGAGACAGGAGTACATGCAACAGTGCCTGGGACAGGGGAGCCACTGATTCGGAATGAAGGAAAAACAAGCACTAAGGAGACTACGCCTTAGGATTGGGTGGGTTTGCTGAGCCAATCAACTTTGCATCAATTTCTCCTGCCCCAGAAATCTCAGCAGCCCTGATCTCCCTGGGATCTTGCAAAGAATCTCTACCTTGGGCAGTCGACAACTGAGCAGCTGCCTTTCTCTTCTGCACTCCCTAGCTTTTATCAAATGCAATCTGTGTTTCTGATCAATGATGGCTCAGAGGTTGGGTTGAAATTTTTTACTGCTACAGATAATCTCTTTATGAATAATTGAGTGTTGACTACACAAGCGACTTGATAGTTTAGCAATCATTTTCTAATTCTACTTTATGGTTTCTTTGCCTACTTTGGACACAGGCACTGGTAAATTAAATTGGACATCCTCACTGTAAATAGGAAAGCTTGGGAAATACATTCAGGCATGAAATATTCATGAGGGCTCAATTCCCTAGAAATTTATAAGCAGTTCCTTTTCCTATGTGTTATAGAATTGAAATCTCAATTATACAAAGGCAGCTAATATGAGACAGGAAAATGAGGCCAGGTAATCACAGTTACAGTAATAACACAGAAAGCATCACCATGAAATAAAAATTATGAGCCCTTGAAAGAAATTTGCTCCCTGAATAGAAAAATCAAAGTATAAAATAAAACAGCATATCAACTGGAAAACTATATTCTAATAGCATGAGTGCAAAAAAAAACCAACACCACTATTCACTTAAGCACATTCTCTTCCCACTGACCAGTCCAGGCCAACTTACTTTTTGAAAAATCAAGGGGATTCGAGTTCCTGGCACTTTCCTCTGATCTTGTTCTAACAATACGGGCAGTGGAACACCAAAAAGCCCAGAATCTGTAATGAGAAAACAAAGTTGCCTCACTTCCATTTTTAATACAAAATGGAAACATGTAAGATTTCGGACACTCTTATTCAATCAGACAAGTGTTTATTGAGCATTGACCGAGAATATGACAGCATCTAGCCCCTGGGAACACACATGCCAATGGCAACGTCCTGACGTGGCTTATAGAGCATTCTGGCAGACAAGGACAACTAAACACATGATTTAAGATATTGCCGAAATAGTTATAAAAGGAAAAGCTGCTACACCAGAAAAGCAGTTTGCTACAAAGACCTATGAAATAGTCAAACAATATACTAAGTGCAGTCGCATCCAAAGTTCTGGCTTGAAATCAAGAACCACTCATGTCTTCTGTATGAAACTGGCATTTAACATCTACAATAAAGCCTGAATATAAATACTTGCTTTCCGATGAGTCAGCTAACATTGGATCCTATTCTACAACTGTTTTGAGAAAGTATCTACTAGGTACTTGGTATTCTTAAATTCACACCTTTATGTATTTGGAAATAGTTCCAGAAGAAATGGGTAGTGGTATTTATGATTTTTCTACATTAATAGCATAGGCCCTGAGTATGGTGAAGGGCAGAGCTCCTGCCCAAGATGGTCCACTCCACCCTAGTACTGAGTGGGGGTCACCACAGCAGTGACAGACATGTCCCCACCATGCGCATCATCGGGGGAAACAGGAATTGTGCTGAGCACGGAGAACACACACGAGAACACACACCGGACACTGAGATGCAGCTCAAAAGGATAATCCAGGAAATAACTTTGCAGTTTGGGAAGTAAGATGTAATCTCAAGAATGTCAAATGTCTACTAAATAACAAAAACATCTTGGATGAGAGAGAGAGATTTAACACGGGAAAGAATTTCTGCTGTTTCCATTAAAACAGTGATAGTTTTAATAAGAACAATTTAATATTTCTGCACTTTTAATAAACTGCAGCTCGTAAACGAAAACAAAAATAAGGGCCCAGTGTAGTGGCATAGGCTTTAACCATTTCTCTGGAGGCTTTGGCAGCAGGATCGCAAATCTTATGTGGGTGTGGGCAACTTAGCAATCAATCAATCAATCAATCAATAATAGATTAATTCAGCCAATTAATCAATAAGGAAAAATGGGCAAGGGATGCAACTCTGTACTCCCTGGGTTCAATATCCAGTACTGAAAAGAAAATATAAAGAAACAGTAAAGAAAAACAAAACCTCTCTAAATCACTTTAAAGATCTTGACCGTTGAGTCACAGCTAAATTGTATTTCTATTTCATAATTGGAGAAGGCCCTGTGGTTGTGTAATGAATTTCCAAAAAACATCTTTAGCTTTCCTTTTACTTTTTTTCTTTTTGCATGTGGTACTCAGGATTGAACCCAGAGCATTCACACTGAGGTACCTCTCCCACGCTTCTTGATTGTGAGACATGGTCTTGCTAAATTGCCCAGGTAGGGCTCAAACTCTCTAGCACCCCAAGTGCTAGGACCCCAGGCATGTACTACCCCTGCATCTGGCTCCCAAGAAGCATCTGGAATCCTTTTTCTCCACAACGGACTTAGAGAAAGCCAGAAGAACCACTTCACTCCGAAATTCATCTCCTCAGGCCTCAAGCTAACATCCTAGTAGAACTGAGCCCCAGGTGAACCCCTCAGGGTCGGTCACTGCAGGAGACCTGAGCTTCAGTCCCACACAGAAGCGTCCTCCCTCTGAAACTTGAGTCAGGTGAGTGCTTGGCTTGGCAAGTGTTACCATGGCAACTCTCAATCTGCCTTCTTGGTGTCTCTTCCAGAGACACCTTTATGGTTAAACAAGAAGACGGAGATTCCTAAACAGTAAAGCTTTGTCAGTAGAGATTCATCTGGACTTCCAGACCAATAAGACCTTAGAGAAACAGACGCTGAAGAGGGTCCACTCTATCCTATCATAAACAATTCACTGTTCATGTAATGGGAAAAGCAAGCTGCTTACAAAAGAAAAACTGCACATGTGTGAGAGGACTACACTGCACCTGAATAATGCGTGTCTCGGTGGTGTTTTCTTAACAGGGAAAAGAATGTTTTTATGCAATAACCCAAAGTCAATTACAAGCAAACAAAGGGGCAGCCTTAACTGCTCCATGTGTTTCCCATCTAATGAATAAGTGAAAGTAATCACTTTGGATCAACCATCTTAAAGTCATTCTTCAAGATCTAATTGGGAAGTAAATAGTATGTGCACCAAATGGATCTTAAATATACAGTTTTCACAGGACAGAACACAGCAGGTAGGAGTCTTGGATTCCCAATTTCCTTCTGTGAGAATTAAATTATTTGATCACATCTCTGTTCTGTGGCTTAGGACACAGTCTATTTTTACTGAATTACACATTTTCGGAGGCAAGGTTTTAGAGTCTAAACTTTAGATGTAGCCAAGTCTTCTTTTATTTTGTAGGTATTTCCCTTCCCCACACTTTCCCCCACAACCAAGAATACCACTAAAAAAAAAAAATCCATTTTTGCTACTATAGGAATCAATCTATTTTTCCTTTCCATGTTACCTCTTGTTTTGATTTTCACAGCTTTCTGTTGTTTCAGTTCAACCCCCAGTACATCATAGAGGGCCGTGAGCTCAACCAAGGCTAATCGACAAACTTTCTTCATGTCCTGAGGTGCGAGGTCACCCATCTTCGTGGTGCCTGTTTTATCCTTTGGCAACCTGAAACTCTAAGATAAGTGCCATTAGTAGAGTAAAAGTTGACAGTCTCTAACCACCTCTGTAATGCAAGAAAAGAAAGTTCTGATGCTACAGAGGAGTCACACTCAAATGAAGTGGCAGCGCCATGGTGGAATTTCACCACTTAACACTCCACAACTGGAGTACAAGAGTCCACATCCGCAGTGTGACACACAGTGGAACGGACCTTGTCCTGGGAGGACTCGTACCAGTGACTCAGAGGACGAGAAAGACAGTGGAGAAAGGGAGAAAATGACTTCTAGTTAATGGACCGCCAAGAATCAAAAATTAGAAATCAGGTATGCACCACGAGGAGGAAGGGAACAGGAGGAGGCGGATGACATAATGAAGATAAATAGGCAAAAGAGGAAAAGGAATCATAGCCACGAGAACGTGCTTAGAGTGCTCCAGTTAAGCTTTGCATACATTAGATATCTTGTATTTGTCAGAAGAAACAAGACTGGTGCAGAAGGACTGCAGAGAACTGAGGCTGTAGGTGGCATGGACTATAGAGATAGCATCATCCAGCTACTCATTAGCTGTGGGATTTGGCAAAAGCCCTGTCTGCTGTTTTGTGCCTTTCTCGAATATCATCTACTACCTCTTCATCTTTTTAAACATTAAACACATTAAACGTAAGAAAACAAGACAAAGACACAAACTTGTGCAGCATGTTTAATACAAACGAGAGCCCCACTGTGTGTGTACTAAAGAGTGGTCATTCTCTGGTAGTCTGATAAAATATCTTGTCATCAAGATGATATGTCTGGGGGTTTACCCTTGACTTCCTCATTTAATTGCCAAGAACATTCAGCTGATTCCTTTTTAGTCCTTTTGCTTTGCTGATTCTTGCACCATATCATTAATACTTCAGGGTTTAAACATTAGTGCAAGAGACACATCCTCAAGCACCAGTTCTCCAAGTGTGGTCCCTGGGCCTTGTAGGGGGGTTCTTCCCAAGACGTCCAAGAAGTCAAACTTAGTCACTCAGAAAGAATTAATTATAATAAGATTAAGGCATTCCTGTGGCTCTCACAGTGTCCTTCCCCGTGATGCAGGCCTTTCCAGGGGTGAATGGCGTGTGTTCCGACAACAGACTGACCGCAGGAGACAGCTGGATATCGGAGACATCAAATTAAAGCCATGCTGAGCTCCTCAATTTTTAGCTTTAGAAAATATGGCTAGTTTCCCTTTTCAAGGATATTTATGTCAACAATAATAGATTCTTTAAATAGTTTCTTTTTTTGTTTGTTTCTCCCAAACCTCGGTCCCCTTCCCCTGTGCAAAATCTCCAATTTTATCATTTTTCCCCTTCAATTCTTTTTTTTCCCATTCCCTTTCTCTACTCCCTCCTATGCATTTCAAACGGGTCTCTAAGTACAGAGAACAGGGAGGGTAGGAGGTGAAAAACAAACAAACAAAAACCAAAAAGAGAAAATAAATTAAAATGTGTTATGTACATGTCCCAACACCCAGTGAGACATGTACTCATGTACTGCAAGCATGCATTAGTAAAATAAAAAAATAATCTGAATATCAAAAAAAAGGCTGCTTCAGAAAGTGCCAAGAGTGAGTGGGAATAGTTTTTGAGAGGGACTAACGGCAATACATTTTTACTATCATAAGTTTTTCAAAAAAATTAAACATTCACTGTAAATAGCATCTCTTGATTTCTCAGTTTTAGTAATTTTTTTTTTCTTTTTCACTGGGCCTGGAACCCAGAGCCAGGAGCATGCCAAGCTTGCACTCCCCCAGCACTCAGCTTTTGTCTTGAGTGTGACAGCTATGCAGAAGCATGTGCGCACACGCGCACACACACACACACACACACACACACACACACAAACAGCATTGCAAGGCCCTCAGCCATCCCGAAGAGCACAGTGGAGTCAAGAGACCACCTCATCTGACCCACAGTGCTCACATAATTCCTAAAATCTAAAACTGGGTTACTGAGCAGCCCATTCTTTTTAAGCAAATTCAACTCCAAAAGAACACCTCTAAGTTCACTATAAAAGGCTTTTTCATTTTTGTCTTTAACTCTGGATCGTGCATTTGTTTTCCCGTGAGAACCTGTGGCAAAACAATGCTGGCCCTGGATTTCCAGCATGGCCTCCAGGGACGGGGACCGAGGATAGGGCGCCCGTCTTGGCTCCACTGCTCACCAGCAGGTAACACCACTGCCTCTTCGCCTGTACAGTGGGCAGGCGGGGATCTTACCTTAGAAGACGGTGGTGAGAACTGAACGGCACACATTAGTTAAGCATCAAGACCTATTAAGCATTCTTACTGTATTTTTTCACAGAACTCTTTAATTTCATCTCTCATGGTTTTCCTTTTCTCCTAAATACTATGGCAAGCTAATAAAAAGGATAAAGATAGCACTCATACTTTAAAATGGTTTATTCTGCAAAAATCCAAATAGGTAAGATTTTCTATGCACATTGTAGTTGGGGAAACTGAGGCTCAGCACAGAGGCTTACACATGGCCACAAGCCAGAGACACCACAGAACGCAAACTCAGGTCTCCTAGACCCCAGATTCAGTCACCATTCTACTGTTTTCCCTGTCTACACCGCAGGCAGGCAGAAACTGAGGTTGACATGTAGTGACATAGGGCTGGGAGTCCCTCAAAGTCAAGAGTTAAGCTGGGCATGGTGATGCACCCCTGTGATCCTACCACTGAGAGGCCGAAGCAGGAGGATCATTGAGTTCGAGGCCATGGTGAGTTCAAAACCAGCCTGAACTACATAGTAAGATCCTGTCTCAAAAAAGAAGGAAAATAATCCAAAAGGTCAGGAGCTACAGCCTCATCATTTCCTATAACTTCCGGTGTTCTGCTGCTGTCTATTGAAGAAATAAAGAAACTCGGACCTACAGAAAAGAGCTCAGAATCCAGTTTACTGGATGCTCTTGATATCCTCCTGATTTTCTGTGATCTTTGCTGAGCTTTACTTTTAAGAACCACACAAACCTTGTCATATCTTTCTCTGCTTGGCCCTACATTTCTGCTAATAATTTTGTTTTCTGAAGAGCAGGACGGGCCATATTTACTCAATTAAATACTTTTTAATGTTTCACAGAACTCAGTTGCTTTTGGTTTAATAAGCCAAACACATGCGATATAATTATTTGAAAGCATTACCTAAGGTAAATGTTTAGAGAATCCCCAAATATGATTAGTTCAAACAGTGTATTTACCTACGAATATATGTTGTGAGATTATTTATTTATTTAAACATTGGGCTTAATGAAGGAATTAGTTCTTTATCCCAATGTTTAGTTCATAGTAGCCACTTTAAATATGTATGAAGTTTCCCGTCTCGTTTTTGTTTAGTTAATAGATTCAATGATTCAGTTCCTTGGCTAAGAGACAACAGTGGAATTTCATCGAGAGAAAAGCTCTTTACAGAAAGAATGAAATATGTTTTACAATGCAAGGTCACTTTTTCCCAAGTGTAATGTAGATTAGCTAAGTAGCTTTCCCTGCCCTATTATACCCTTTTTTAATAGGCCTTGCAGCAAGAGGGTGCCGTTGGTCATTTCACTAGTGACGAACTTGACTTTATCAAAACACTTTAGCATCAGGTTGAAGGTGACCTTCAAAAGCTTAGTGATGGAAGTCAAGCAATAGGAAGCTATGCAGTCTAATATAAAAAATAGGGCAAATAATGTCGACCTCCTAGAGATCATCCGATAAATGAGCAATTGCTGAGCACAATTTCTGAGTGTGTGTATGTGCATAGTAGCTCAATTTTCAAACCAAAGCACGTTAAAGGTTATAACACTGGATCCCCAAATTTAAGAGGAGCAGTTTGAATCCACTGTGAAAGATCATAAAGAATTAAGGAGGACCGCTCAATGCGCTAAGAACAAGGAGTGAACATGAAATGAGGTCCCAGGGAAACAACATATTGCATAAAAAGCCTTTGCTTATTACAGAGGTAGAGAAGCATGGGGTAGAAATGGAACTGGTTGTTTTATCTGCTTAGATACCTGCTGCAGAGGACTGAAAATGAACATTCCCTTCATCAACCATGTTAATCTTTATAACACATCCATGCCTTTTGATAAAAAGGTTGTAGAAACATACATGTAATACATAGGCAGATTACTAATACTTATCAAAAGCATACAACTGATAGTTCTACATGTGATTCCAAACAGTTAATCTAAGTTCATACTCAGAAAAAGCAATGTCATTTTGGGGCACAACATGAACAAAACCAAGATGGCAGTGAACTCAAATTAGTGTATTAAACAAGGATTAAAATGGTAGAGGAAGTTTTGTTTTTGCCACTTCCCAAGCAGAGATTAATTAGGTTTTATGCTACTGAGTCAACAAAGTCAATCATGTCTGCATCTTGCTTGATTAGAGCCTATGAACCTTCGATTTCAAACCTTCCCATCTTTCGCAATCAAGACTGTCATCTCAAAAACATTACTTTCCCTAAGGACACCTCATCTGGGAGCATGGATCATCAGTTTGTGCCACACTTTGCAAGCTCCTTTACTTTTCCACTAGGTACTAAGAACAGATTCTTCAAAATACACAAGAAAGCCTGGAAATAACCAAATGTCTCCCAGCACTGGTTGAATAAATTATAATACAGCCTTAGAGTGGAGAACAGTGTATCCATAAAAACAAATGATGTATTTCTCGTACTATGAAGATAAGATTTTCAGAATATACTAAGTCAAAAAACAAATAGAATCAAAGTTAGGAAAATGTGTAAAGTGGGCTACCATGTATATAAGAACTGGAGGATAAACCACAGTATTAAAATAAGAAGTTTGCCTCCAAGAGGAAGAGTTGAATAGGGTCCTTGCTCAAAGATAAAAGCTAGATTTTTAATACATCTTGTTTCTAGATTTGACTTTTGGATCACATAAATATTTTACACAATTATAAAACAAAATTACATTTCAAAAAAGCAATCTGTAAAAAAAACTGAAAGTAAAATGAAAAAAATTAACCCAACCAGGTATGCAACTATTGACTTAACCTTTCAGAGTATTACCACCCTACACCACAATCATTTTAATATATGAAATCCCTGTTGGGATACATTTCAAAGACACAAACAACTGAAGAAAAATAATTTTCAGTCATTGTCTAGTGCCCTTGCTGATGGTCACATTAGCATTGTTATTCTGAGAATGTTGTGCATGAAAGTAGGATAAAGCAAAGGAGGGTTATGTGACATTCTAAATATATCACCACAATGCTGTGCGTGCAAAAAAGAAGACACAATTATGCTTCTGTCTTCTGAAAAGCCTTGAAAGTGATTCCCAACCCTGAGCACTGAATACGTCCACTGTCTTGATGATAGACACAAAAGTATTTCTACTAACCAGAACCAGCAATTCTGACAGAAGAATAAGGTTTTAAGTCTGGAACAGAAAATATGGTGGATAATCCTGGGAAACTTTATCCAGACCCCATCAAATATGTATGAACCCAGGAGTTATGATGTTATTTTTATAAAATAAACACAAACATTAACTGGGCACTGTTTAAAGATGTGAAGGAACAAGTAAAAAAAAATTGAGAACTTGTAAATAAATGGAAAAATTATGTCTAGGAAGTTTTTCTTAAATAAAATATCCAAATTAATAAATGACAATGGGGGCCGGGGATTTAGTTCAGTGGTTTCGCTGCCTGCTGGGAAAGCTCAAGGACCCAAGTTTGATCCCCGGTACCAAAAATAAATAAATAAATAAATAAATAAATAAATAAACAAATGACAATGAGAAGTAAATATTAGATCATTTGCAAACATTAATAAACCCTGGTATTGATCCAAAGCAGTTGTTAATTTCACCAAAAAATCTAACTAGATCCGCAAGTCTCCTGAAACAGGACACATGATCACCTGTCTCAACAAGAAAGACAGAAAGCAGAAGATGGACTACACCACAGGGAGCGAATTAGCCTGGGGAAGAAATTCTCTACACCTTAATAACCAGGTCTCTTCAACAAACAGAGTTTGAGGGAGGGAGAGACAAAAGGATAGATGGAAAGACAGAAGTACCAACACAGACGGAGAAAGGGGAAGAGAACAAAAAAAAAGGGAAAGAGGCAGGGGAAAAAGAGGAGGAGGCGGAAGGGAGGAACAGAGGGAGGTACAGATAGAGAAGGAGACTAAGACTCTATAAAGACATCAGCCAATTTCAATGTGTGGAGCTTGTTTGGATGCCAATTCCCAAAACTGTCCAAAAACATTCATGAATTTTGTGATACAATTTGAAATTTTTTTTTGGTACTGGGGATCGAACTCGGGACCTTGTGCTTGTGAGGCAGGCGGCAGAACCACTGAGCTAAATCCCCAGCCCCTTATTTGAAATTTTAATACTGACTGGGTACTTAAAATTAAGAATTGTGAAGTATAATAGTGGTAACCCCAACAGGTGTTTTTAAAATTCTCCTTTTTTTTTAGCAACACAGATCTTTACAGACAAAATGTAAATTGGAGATGTGTTTTGAAATAGCACAGAATAGGACATGCATGGGTCAGGATTGGCTGTGGTTTAAGGAATGCTGGGCTGGGTGATGAGTACTTGTGGTTCATCATACTATTCTGTTTTGGTTTTGTGTGTGTGAAATTCTCAGTGTCCTTTTGCAATAGAAGGTGCTCAGCAGTGGTGAGAATACTCCGTATACAGAGCTTACACTCTAAGCAACAACTTGCTACTCAAAGACAGAGCTGCTGTCAAGTCTGAGAAAAGTACAAAGTGGGCCTGGCACTCTTTGCACTGGACACCAAAGGAGAATGATGTGCTGACGTCAGAACGACCCCAGAACCAGCTCAAAGCGGCTCCTACTGCTGCAGGCTGTGTCAACTTGACCATCAAAGAAAAATGATAATGATTTATAAAACCCCGAGTGAAAAGAATAAAGCCACCAGCCGTTAGTGGTATTCAAAAACAATACCAAAAAAATACACAAAAATAGAAAAAGGAGGGAAACCACTTAGTACAGAAGATGGCCATTCAGCAAACGTAGAAGGAATAATAGAATTAGGAAACCACTGTTTTTCAAAAATCGTTTTCGTTGCATTTTCAGGGACGACTACAGAGGATGGCACTCCATTGCGCAATGGGATAGTACGTTATTCAGGTGGCTTCAAGGACCACAGATGAGCAGTGAGTGCATATGAAAAAGGTATCTTTTCAACGAGACCTAGCAAACATCTCTTTCACCAAGATGGCAATCAAATGTCCATCACCAACAGTGACTATGTGATTCCATGCAGTGACTCTGATGAGGCCAGCGGAAGCCCAAACACCACTTAAACAGCAGACTGGGTAAAAATGTTTAACCGGAACCCAGGAATAAGGAAACAACCAGACAAAATCAGAAAACTGCTCTAGATTTTCAAAGACATTAAGGGAAAAATGGGAGCAATTCAAGGAAAACCAAAGAACAATGCAACATCCCAAATGGGGGTAGAGGAGAGAGAAGCCATAAAGGACAATCTTAGGACAACTAGGAAAATTCTCTCATGATTGCCTATTCAACAGACCTATCGCTTAATGTTCAATTTCTTAAGTATTATAAACATTCTCTTGGTCTTTGTTTTGGTTTTTGTTGTTGTTGTTTTTGTTTTTTCTTTGAAACAGAGTCTCACTGTGTAGTCCAGGCTGGCCTTGAACTCACTATGGAGCCCAGACTGGCCTTGAGCTCGTGCAATCTTCCTGCCTCAGCCTCCGAAGAGATGGGATTACAGGCACACATTACTGTTTGACTTCTTAAGTATTATAAACTGTTTTGTTTTGTATGCCCTGATAATCTCAAGACAAAAAGTGAGTGTATATCAGACAGCAGATCATACCAACAGGTAGATATAGAAAGAGAAAGGAAAGATTATAAAATATTAATAACTGTCAAGTCAATCTTCGAAGGCCATAGAGTGCTTGCTATGTCATGTATTCAACTTCTGTATGGGTTCTAAATTTTCAAAATAAAAAGCTGATAGGAAAGGGTAGATTCTATTTGCAGCGCCTGAACTGTGTACTACATACAGGTAAGGAGGCATTGCTGTCTTTCGTCTTCCACGTCTTATCCTTGGCGCTGTCTTTTTGACTGACGGCTTGCTCAGCAAATGACACCTCCAGGTTGATGTCTGTCACAGACGCAGGCATCTCCTCAGGCATAGGCAGGATCAGCTCCTTATCACCAACAATGAGTCGTGAAGAAGCCTGGTCTGGAAGGAAAAAGACCCAAGACCCAATTCATAGGCTTGCTCTGTGTGTGTGTGTGTGTGTGTGTGTGTGTGTGTGTGTGTGTGTGTGAGTGTTTGTATTCCAAAGCATTAACTACATAAAAACCTTTGGGAAGAGTACCGTTTTTTTCCAGCCAATACTTCACTGTTACTTCAGGAACATACGCAAGGAATCCTACCAGTGGAGAATGGGAAGGCCACTAAAAATCCAGGGTTTGACGGTGGAATATTTCTTGATCACTGTTCTTAGACTGAGTCCCAATCCAAAGCACTGTTGGAAGCTATCAGACTCTTGGTGGAAAAACCTCAATATTTAGTAGAAACAATTGGGGTTTTTTCTACACTGAGGACTTAAAAGGGAAAGACGGAGAAGTAAGATTAGTTGTCATCTCTTTTAGAACTAGCAACATACCTCGTCATCTCCTCATAGAATAGATTCCTGGAAAAAACCTCCTTCTATCATGTTAGCTCTCTATCATAGTAAAAATTTCAAAACAAAAGTTAATGCCAAAAATCTATCATCGTGGGAGTCAGGTCAACAGGTGTCAGGTAGAGGAACCCCAGGTCTTATACCTGATTCTATCAGAGCATGAAAGTTGATATAGATACAAACACGAGTCAAATAAGCCTCAGATATTGTCAACATTTCAAGAATATACAATGTAGTATGTTTCACTTTATTTTGGCTTTTTTTAATGCATTTTTTTGTCAATCTGCCAGGAAAGAAATAACATTCAAGCACCTCATTGACAAAAATACCAGTTTTATGCCTTGGTAAAAATACTTCTCAATTTGACTATTTGGTAGCTTTTTGCTTTTAATGCAATTCACATTGGAAAAACTCTGGGACCAATGACAGATTGCTGATATTGGAGACCTATGATTCATGGTAAAACTCTCTAAATTTAAAAATGGATATACACTGCTCATTTGCATGCTTACATACTCACATGCAAAGACACAACAAAGTGATAGAAGGCAAAGTTAATCTAAATATTTAATAAATATGTGCCATATGCATAGTTTGCTGTTTGGAAAATGAATTTATGCTCATTTAATCTATTAAAGAAAAACACTGTTTTAATCAAAATAAAATCAGGATGTAAATCTAAATCTAGTCTTATTCTCATTAAAAAGTAGGTTGTGTGGTGTGTGCAGCCAGGGCCTCCGAGCTCAGAAGGGCCTGGCCTGGTCTAATCCTGCTGTCACCATCTTGAAAGCTGAACCAGATGCTGACATCTCTGCTTGGTCCAGCCCTCAGGGCGTCTCACAACAGAGAAGGGAAACATGGGCCCAGTCTGCTCCCAGATGAAGAATAAGATAAAGCTCCTGGGTACTATTTGTATTATCTGCTACCATCTATGTTATATTCATGTTTTCAACACCCAGACATGTTCTAGAAATCAGAATATGTACTATGATCAATTTTTTTAATATTAGCATAAACATCAAAGCCTGTCTTATTTTCCCATTGGTTCATGCTGTTTCATGATTTACTGTGAATCCACATTGGTCTTCTAGGAAACTCTTCTAAGAAAAAAAATGACTAGCCATATTCTTAAATGAGAAGTTACCTTTAAGCAGTTGAAAGTTTGCAGACAAGAATTTAAAAACTACTCTCCTCAAAACTCCATGTCAGAACTACAATGATAGTTCTCCCTAACCCCCACCCAAGTAAATGGGCTGTGTAGATTTTAAAGCTTAGTAGTCATAATTAAGTTATGACACTTTGAGATATAGGAGCTTCCTCCAGAAATACAGCAAAAATTTAAACATGCATTATATAAAAAGCCTCAGTTGAAGTGGTAAATGAAGTCAAGGCAGAGCTTAGGGAAAAACATTCCAAGCAATGGGAGAAAGAGCACTGTTAATGAGCCACGAAGAAGGATGCATTCATGATCATCTGAGAGAAAACTTAAACAAGAATGCTAGCATAAACCTTTCTACTCTGGAAGCCTTCCAGTGTCAGTATTTTAATTTCTTTCATCTGTTTTCCTTTGCTTTAAAATGAACAATAGCATCAGGTTTTAGGTATTTTACAAATCCCCCAAAGTTTTCTAACTGTCCCAAACATCCAAAAATGCTTTAGTTTTTAAAATGTTTGTTCTTCCCCTATTAAAATCAGACAGACAAACAGGTGGACAAACATAGCAATGTTAAAGCTCAATTGTTTCGCATGACTAGTATTTCTAAACAGATATATTAATCCCTGGGCCTTCCAGAGACAGAGTTGGGAGACTTGAGAAACAGTTAACATGGACATGTAGTGGTGGATTCACTGCAAATGTGACAATACTTGCAATATTCAAACTTTGTCTGAACACGTCTGAAAATCCGAAAGTGGGGAAAACATTTAAAACACACCATCGCTTCTCGGCCTTTTGGCTAAAATCAAGTGCATTTAAAAACCACTGTCACCGTGCCTTCCGAGTTAGGGCAGAACAGTCCCACTCTGGAAGCGCAGCTGGTTCCCCATGTGTCTCCTCACAAACCTTCCAATGTTTGCATGAAGCTGTCGGCTCGCTGGCTGGTGAGCGCGGGCACTGCCTAGACCGGGCGCTGAACTAGCGACCCACTGACTAGGATGGCGGTGAATGCATCCTCCTCTCCTTCCGACTGGAGGGTCACTGCCCGATACTTAGCATCCAGCAAAGCAGATATAAATGGGGCCACAAGTTTGCCTTGCTGCCCTTGTCTGCTGCAACGGAGGCTGGAAAGGTGCTCACATAATGAACTTGTTTTTCAGAACTTTCGCTGTCACTGCCTACACTATGATCTCTGGCAAGGGAAGAAAAGCCCACAGAAAGGACAGTGTTTTCCTTAGTATCCATTAAACAACTGCTGCGGACTCTTCCCCAGAGCCCCAAGCAGATTGACCCTGGTACCAGAGGTCTGGCTGGCCCTGGCCACTTTGTCAGCTGGGATACAGACATGAGGGATCACCTGGAATTTTCTTCTGCTAAAATCTAGAGCTACAGAAACTTTCACAGAAGTGTAGGCAAAATCAACTGTACACACATTGCACACACACATGTAAATTTGCATGTGTGTATGTATTTTTTTAAAGTAGGATTGCATGAGAGACATTCCCCAAAAATACAGAAAAAAGTAAATGTGTTAGAGGTGCTAAGATTCTAAAGTTTCCCACATAATCCAGGATTCTCAATGGGAAGGTTGGGAACTTCCTAGGCCTCTAGTTTACCTGATACCCATCTCCCACTTCCAAACCAAATATTAAAGCCATGAATGCCCAAGACATTGAAATTTAAGGAGACAAACACATTTCACTTTTGTTATAGTTTGTTAAATAACAATTAAGGACTAAGTTATTAAGCTTAAATCAATGATCTTAATTTAGAACAGTTTTCCTTTATGTAGACAAATGAAACAGCTATTTTTTAAGTACTAATACAGTAGTAACATTTATTTTCTTTCCCGCCTTGATTTCCAATTTATTTTGGAAATAAATATTCAAGGAAAAAAATTGTAATCAATTGTCCCCCCAAAATCTTAATTTTCTTAAGTTTCTCTAAAGTGTTTCAAAATTAATCCATTTATAAATTTGAGAAGAAAGCTTTAAATTCCCTGGTAGCACTTTCTAGCTGTACGATCTTGAAACAATGACTCTACATTTCTAAAACTCAGCTGTCTTATCTACAAAATGGTTGAAGGCCCGTACCTACCAGGTACCTACCAGGCCTCCACGTAATGCCCAGCGCACAATAATGGCTCAGGATGCTACATGAATGGGCTTTGGATCAGACAAGGATACACTAAAAACCAAAGGCCAACTATACTTTCAGCTCCATGTAATGCCCACTTGGGAGCTTACATTGTTATTTTAACAGAATTTGCTTACTAGAATAAAAGGTGAGTATCTTAAAAAGTTGTAATTATTTATTACACTAATTAAAGGAGGGGGCAAGACCAGCATACCATCTTTTTCTTGGTGTTTGTTTTCGTTTGTTCCAACTGACCGAAATTCAGTGCCATCTGGAGCCTAAACATAGAAAATGAGCCATTTAGTCCAAAAACAAGACACTTAGTCATCTCCATGTCACGGGCTGAGAAAATGGTGGTGTAAATAATTTCATTACTAACCTTCAGAGTACAAAAAATGTGCTCAGACTTACAACGTTCGCAGTGGGAAAAGAAACCACTATGGTTATACCAGCAAGCAAACAAATGTGTGATAACCCACAACTGTAAGACCACTCAGGAGGGAATATGGAAAATGTTAGGTGTCCTTGGTGAGGGGAAAAGAAAAGCATGTGAAAAGCTAGTCATATCGAGCAAGTGAAGGAAATATAGTTTATCTACACAATAGAATATTATTTGGCAATAAAAAATGAAATGCTGATGCATGCTTAAATGTGGATGAACCTGGAAGCCATTGTGCTAAGCGAAAGGAACCAGAAACAAAGGACCACATATGTTATGATTCCACATATTTTATGACTTTTACTACATGGAATGTCCAGAAGAGGAAAATCAGAGACAGAAAGTAGATTAGTGGTTGCCTAAGTGTAGGGAACAGAATATGGGGAATGGCCGCTTACAGTTATGGGGGATGAAGAAAGTGTGTCACCACCGATTGTGGTAATGCTGGAAAACATGACCATACTAAACTCCACGAAGTCATACACTTTCATTGGGTAAACTTATAGCATATGGATTATATCTCAATAATGCTATGATGGAACACAAAATTACAAAGCTGAATTAGTTATGAGCCGAAGATAGAAATTCTTTTGCAAAAAAGCAAGAAATAAATATGAGATTAAATTAAAAGTAAATTAATCGATTGATACTAAGACCTAAAGCTTTCAGTGGAATTCTTTTTGCCAAGGGATTGGGGCAGTGACACCTGAGACATGTGACTCTCCAGGGTTCATGAACTTGGGACAGCATGGCTGGCTCTACCTACCAGCAAGTGTGGTCAGACTCACTTCCTCCTTTCCTACAAGGCCACACCAAGGGGCCTGACTGAGTGAATTATTTTTAAATATTCTGTTGGATTCCATCTCCCCAGATCAAAAGTGGCCCTTGTAGTGCCACTCCAAGTATCAGCCACAAAGAACCACAAAGAACTCCCACTCCATTTGTGACCTATAGAAAGCCCCAGAGCAGGGACTTAATGTCAATAATGTCCTACTTAGATGCACACCATCCCCAGGACAGGGAACCACGAGGCCCAGACCCAGGAGCGGCAGGTGGGTGCACGCACATTAGCTGGCTGCAGGACCGGGCAGTGCATTCTCCTTCCCGTGTCCATGACTCTGGAGAGCTGACCCTCTGTGGCACAGCGTGCACAGCAAGGTCCCAATCTCACATGGAAACCCATAGTTTGGAATATGTGGTCTCACTGCTTGCCTTAGCGATTGAAGATGGCAGGGCAGATGGTATTCATTTCTGTATTCCATTTCCTAGTGTCAGCAAGGGCTTCAAGAGAAAGCATTGAAAATGGAAGAGCTGACTACACACTTACTTGAGAACAGAACTGCACGTCAGGGCGGCTGGACCCAGTCTGCTTGAGGGACAGGATGTAAGCCAAATGTCTAATGGGCAGTAGTGTTTCCGTTAAAGGCATATTGTGTAAGCAAGTCAACATTATTTTAATTTCCTTGTGCTATTTCTTAATGAGTCCATCAGACAATACAATCCACCAATTACCTTGGACTCAAAACCATACGGTTTAGACATTACCAGGAATTTGCTGAAAAGTGCTGCTTCTAGCACCAGCTGGTAACATCCTGCTGAAGACTGGCAGGAATCCCACAATACATGTTTTGCTGAGGCTCAGCTCTCTGGCTCCTCTCCTCTTTACTTCCTTTTAGTTCCCTTAGGGACAATTCTTTAATTGGGGAAGAAATATTACAATACTGTATTTCCTTTCCATTCATTTTTCTACAGCTGGAAATCTAGTTTAGTCCTTCAACAACAGTGTCCCAAATAGCCACTGGGTGATAAGTCCCTAACTCAGACAAGTGCCTGGGGCAATCTCGTGACCCCAGAATTGCCTTAAAAAGCTGGATTTGATCCACAATTGGTCATGCAAATTGAGTCACAATCTGAAACTAGAAAAGACTTCTTGAAAGAATGAAACATCTACCAAAAGCAAAAATCCTGCACATGAGAGACAGATACTTTAAATATTAGCCCTTCTATTCCATATTTTTATAGAGAATCATATTTATTATTATTTATAGTTTAAATACAATCTCATTCAGTATGCATAATATCAGAAATGTATATGGAAAGGAAAATACAGCATGATAGAACAGTTAAAAGCATGTACTTTGGAGTCAGACAAATTTGGGTTCAGTGTCTATGGGACATTGGGCAAATTACTTAAAATCTATGAGCCTCAGCCTCAGAATGGCAATGTAATACCTCACTCATAGCTGGAGGGATTAAGTGAGATGAAGCAGGTGAAGCCGTTAGCACTGTCATCATACAGGAGTGGTGGGAGAGATTGTTATTGTTATGGAATCCCTTTGTTTCTTCAGTGGGTCTTCTGGGCCACAGCTACCTGGCCACCATGCCCTTAAGAGCACCATTTAGTTCAGCGGACTTTGTCTTTTCTCAGACCCAAGGCTCTCTTGATGAAAGAGTGACAATCCACATTTGGCTCAAATTCCTCATTTCCTCATGAATGGATGATAATTAACACAGAAACCGCCTGTCCCCTGCCAGGCTGATGCAGTACCAACTTCCCCAGTCTCTACCAGACCCCAGCGTCCCCATTAACACGCTAACCATTTGGACAAGAATTCAGTCTCGTTGTGTATATGCCAAGTGTGGTGCTTAAGCATGAGACACAAAGGGGACTTTATTTCATGTCTCAGGATCCCTATTTTGTAATTCAGCTGCCATTACCTCCCTCACATTCCACCTCCTCCCCTTCCTGGGTCTGAAAAATCAGATATTCCTATAAGCATTAAGAGATAAGGAAGAATCTAGTGCTTTCTACTTTCATATCATTAACAACTGGCAGTCAGAATGTCTAGGGAGCCTTCCCTGGTTCGCCTAGTGTCACATCTAACACTTTAAGGACACCATCTATCCCCAATGGGATTATCACACCAAATTGTTACTTGCCAGCATTTGCTCCAGTGGAACAACCTCTAGAAAGGCGGCGATCAAGACCTGCTGGTGGTTCACCTTTGGCACCCCAGATATCATGGGTGCCCATTAAGTTTGTAATGATTTGAATTACACTGGATGGGTCCAACTGAGTCTCAGTAGTTAATCCTTTGCCTTCATATCTGAAAAGAAAGCTTACTTTTTCTTTTGATGCTGTCTGTTGAGCAAATATGTCTCTGACGTCAGGAATGTGGTGCTGTTTGTTTTTCTTCCTCAGTGTCTGGGAGACTGTCTCTACCCGCTTCTGAACAGCTGCTGCCTGGGTGCGAGTCAGAGTGGACAGAAACACCATGCTTTCCTGGGGATCATCAGTGGACTCTCCGAACAGATTGGACAAGCCAGCCTCTTTGAGCCACTCTTCTTCCAATTCGCCCTCTGAAACAAGAGGAAAAAACCCAGTTTTTCAATCACAAACTCTAAGAATGTCCAACTTTAATAAGCTATTTAAAAATTATTCCTGGAACTCATCTATTGTAACCAACCTGCAGTGCTAAGAATCATTCCCTCAACTTGGACAGCTGCCATCAACTCTGGCCAGAGTGATATCAACTGTGGCGATTTCATGTATGCTCAGTTACAAATCTTTAAATGACTACATGTAATTAATCTCCACAACTTCCCTGCAGGATCACCATAGAGGATGAGACTGTTCCCTTCCCGAGACCAGCAAGCTATGGAAAGATAAGTTGCCTCCATTAGTTGCAGAAGGAAATCAGCCGGGGATACAGATTCCAGGCTGGGATCTTGGTGTACTTCGGTATTCTCCAGAGCTTAGCACTCAGTGATGAGAAGGCCTGCTTCTCTATTCACTGTGGCTCACAGGGAGCAGGGGAAAGCAGCAGGCAGCAACTGGCCATTGGAAATCATTCAATTTCAAATTAATTTTTCTAATCCTGCAGTCAGCACATTGAGTCATGTTATTTTTTACAAATAAAAAAAGCACCCTATTTTCAACAACAAAGAGCTGATGTAAGAAAATAATTAAATAACAATCCTCTCAAAACACTGAGAATAGGATGTAAACAGTGATTACAGCCCTCCACATCCACGGGCTCTGTGTCTGATGCTTTAACCCAACAGACTGAAAACATTCTTTAAAACATTGCATCTGTGCTGAGCACATACAGACGCTGTCATTAGTCTTGAAGTTCCACAGTGTAACAACTGCTGTACACAGCACTGCCGCTGTTCTATGTGTAAGTGTTCAGAGATGATAAAGGACATGAGACAATATGAATAGACCACATGCAAATACTGTGCCATGCTATCTAAGGAACTTGAGAAGCTATGGATTCTGATGTCTGCAGGGTCTGGAACTAATCACCCATGAATATCAAGGATGACTTTGTTGTTTAAGATCTAGTGAAACTCGTAGAAAATCAGAAGGATTACTAGATGGATGCGCTCCAACCATCATGTTTATAGCAATGATTTAGATCACAAAAGATCTGGGTCCATTCTGCAGCTTGATAGCCATATCACTTGGGACAAGTCCCTTAGCCCCGACATGACTCCATTCCCTCATCTGCAAACTAAATGCCAGCTACGCCAGCTACCACATAAACAAATGTGAGAAACGGACAGGGGAGAGCTTCCCAGACCACTAGGGTGCCTGTGTCACACAGTGTGGCCCCAACCGAGCGGTGTGTGTCCTTCTACACTACATAAAGTCCTTCAGGATAGAAATCAGGTATTAAAAACCCTGACTGCTAGTGCAAGGCACTCTTTTCATTGACATAAAGGTAAGTCAACTATTATTATTAATGCTGTTCAGAAGAACTCAGTACCGATATATAAAACCAAACTGCCAGGAAAAAAATAACTGGCATTTCTATGACAAGGAAAACAGGAGTACCACGGAGAGTCATTTATCCCATTAGAACACATAGAAGTAGTCAGCTCAAACAGCACAAAATTTTTTAAAAAGTGGTGTCATGTAGAAATTCTGGCCAGTCTTCTTGATGAACACATTGCATATGATAATCTACACATCAGTTTTAACATTAGAGAATTATCAAGCAGCTAGCAACACATTTCTATGTATCTGACTTAAATGCTACTTTATTTTACTAAGTAGGCCACTGCTATGTTCCTTCCATCTTGAAACATTGAGACAGAAAGGCTAAGAAACAACATTAATTATCACAAATAAGCTTAACTTTACTACCAACATATATGAGGATGAAGAAGAAAGTTGAATAGAAAAAGTTGAAATCTAAGAAATGTTAAATTAAGAAAAAAGCCTCAACTTTTAAAATTAGTATTGGATTACTTTCTAAGCAATGTTGTAGCAAAGGAGAAAACCATATATAGATTTTTCTACTTAACTCCACCCTATCTTTTAGTAAAAAGTCACTCCATTGAGAAGGAAATCTTTTAGCAAATCACAAGGCATAGACCTCGGCTCTCACTGTTGCCACTTATATATCATCTGATTTACCAAAACATACAGTAATTATAAATTTACAGATGGCATAGAAGGAAAGCTAATATACCAGATGCCAAAGTTGGGCATTAAAGCTTGACAACTGCTTAGATTTAAGAGATTAAAGGAAATTTTAAAAAATTAAAAAATAAATTATTACATATTCTTCCAAGATATCGAGAATAGTAGTGCATAGCATGAAAAATATGGTTGGGAACAGACTTGAGAAAAGTTATGGGAAAAATATAGGAAAGAGGCAACTAGAGAAGTTAAAAATGCTCATGCCATCTTCTGATGCAGATGTGTATTTCTTAGATTGCTTGGCCAAACATGTGATACAGCCACCAGTCTGGGTACTGTACTTTGAATGATAAAATGAGTACGACTGCAACAGATCTGAAAACCACCCACCAACATTGGTTTTATAAATTTTCCCTGTAGAAAGAACTTTGATAGAAACAAGATAAGTATCCTCAACTATTTGAAAGGCTTCTTTCTACCGTGTAAAAAGTACGGTGAACTTGCTCTGTTCTTTCCAAAGGCAAAAAACTACAGCCTGTGAGTAGAAGTTAGGGGACAGTAGACCGTGAATTAGTTTGCAATAGCTAAAACTTGGAAACAACCCAATTCACCATCAACTGGAGACTGGATAAAGAAGATATGTTTTTTTTATAAAATGGAGTACTACTCAGCCATAAAGAATGAGAAACTAGAGACATTTATAGCTAAGGGGATCCACACTGAGGCCACACTCTTAAGTGAAATAAATAAGACACACATGTGTAAAAACCAAATAGTTTCTCTGGTGTGAAAAACTAAAAGTGTAAATAGGGATCAAAATGTATAATTGATATTGTGAAATAGGAAGAAAACATCTAAAGGAGTAGGGGAAGTGGAAGGGGTAGGGGAAAGAAAAGAATGGAAAAAAAAATATGATAAAAGGAAAAACATGGAAACAAAGTCTTTGTAAATAGGGAAGGGTGGAGGGGCTGAAGGGAGGGCAAGGGAATGGGGAAAAAACAAGAACCAAGACGCATCACGTAAAGGTACAAGATCCCAAAGATGACTGTAACTGTATTGTGTATCTAAAATATACCAATAAACGTAATGGAAAAATATATTTTAAAAAAGATCAAAAGAAATCAAATAGACAGACCTCTAGAAAAACAGTATCATTTTAAAGTCAGGACCTTTCCATAAACATCTATACTTCCTGGAGACCGAACAACTGTGTGGTGGACATGTTATCAAAGGCAGTTTAGATGATTTCCAAGATCAAGCTTAAATCTTCAGACTCTATGACACAGTTGGCTTAGCCTACAAGAGTCTAACCAGAGCTACAAACTGAGAGAAATTACTCATGCCTCATGTATTGGGCAGCTGGCACCCATAAATCTTCCCCAAACAATTTTCAAGTTGAAAGACAACTAGCGATATCATTTTTTGGTTGTTCTCTTCCTTCCTATGCATCAATTTTCCATACACACAACTACCAACAATGCCAGATTTATTTAGTTATTACCATCAGGCTCTTTGACAACAACTATGTCTTGGTCTTGTCTGTTTTCACTAGATTTCTTGATATTTTCGAGTTCCGTCCAGTAGTCCTCCATAGATAGTTCATCCAAGGAATCCTGGGAACTTGATCGATCGAATGGAGGTTTCTCGGTCACTTTAGTAGAGCTTTCCTGGTTCATGGTGTACTGGCCATATCTGCAACTATAAATTCAAAAGGAAACACAGTTCACTTTAGTGCAAGAGGAAGAAGTGGTATGATTTCCAGATGGAACACTGAGCTGGAGAATTTGGAAATTCCTTAAGTTCTCATTAATAAAACAAAGGAGATACATACTTTGACACTCTTTACCTTGGAACATTGTAATACGCTACAGAATGATGAGTCTCAAAAACTATGGTGAACAACAAACAGCAACATAGTAATTTACTTTTTCATTCTCTAGGAAATTCAGAGGTGACAGCTCACATCACTTTAAACTACTTTAAGACTCATTTAGATCTGAAACTTTGTTTCTAAGAAAATAAGTGTAAATGTTGATTAAAGGCTACTAATGAATCAAATTGGGAAGAGATTTTTCCAATATTTAATATATATATATAAAATTTACATTTATAAGCCAAATTCAATCAACTCTTATATAGCAAGCACCTGCAACTAATAAATAGAATATTATTTGAATTCCCAGTTTTGGAACTAACATATAAATAGAAGGATGATTAAGCTTGCTGCTATATGTATTAATAATGTTTAAAGGAGGTTAAATACTCATTTATTGGTAATCATTCAATTATTGGCAACAGCAGGTTGGGATTATTCAAACACCTATCTTACATATTATCTATGAAAAAATAGGTAAAGTGAATAAGAGTATTTTATGACTTCAAGTAAACTAAATTTTTCTTTGTAATTCACATCTATTCTACTTCTAAAGTTGTAATAGTCCTAGAGTAGAAATATTAATTTTGTTATTTATAGACTAAGGAAAACAACACTTCATTACTTGAAAGGGGAAATTTTTCTGCTATGGTGTCTTATTTATATACAATATTTTTTTAAATTTGAGTGGAAACAATAATTGGTGAAAAAGTGTTTTAACATTCTAAATTTGAATTGCTCTTTTATGCCCCAAGAAGGACTTCTAGGAAGTAATACGTTACTCAATTAGTTTTACTTCCTGTAAAATTTGAAAATAAAAAGAGATGAAATTCTTTAATAGTGTGCGAACAATCTCACATCTAAACTGACCTTTCTCATAATTATTTAAAATACTAGTATTTTAATACTACATGAGGGAGAGGTCACTAAACTCTGGGCAAATCTACTGAGCAATTTAATTCCAACTGGTTTGTTAGAAAAAGCCAAAGAGCTGAATTGCCTATTGCTGCAAATACATGCAGTATCACTGAGTGGTTAGCTGTAATATGTTAATGGACCAGTTTTATTCCCATAAAGATGGCGCGCTCTCTCTCTCTCGTTTAAGCACTTTATTAATGCTGTTTGCATGAATGAATAAACAATCACTATCATCTCTCCCTGGTAACAACCCTGGGCAGAGATGGGTAGATATCAGGACCACAACGTGTTTGTGAACCTCTTTCCTCGAATCTCCATTGTCCATTGTTTGCCTCCTCCATCCATTAATTTCCTTCCTCCCTGGCCTTCAGCATCCTGTTTACATCACCGTACCCCACCCTGGTCCCCTCGTCTGGCCCCAGTGGTCACTATACAACCAACATTTTCTTCACATGATTTTCACTTCTGATTCTTAAAATGTGAGTAAGAAAGTTATCATGGTTTTAAATTTCTAGGAGCAGTAACCCAGTCTCGAGTCACAGTCCTAATCTCACCTTACCAGGGTAGCTAAAACCAATTTATAGCCTATCTGCCAGGTTCATTTTTTAAATTTCATATCGAATTGTCAAATATATAGACACCCTATCCTTGCTTTTATGTCCTTTTTCTTTAGTGTAGTCCTGGGGATTGAACTCAGGGCTTTCATACTGAGCAACATGCCTAGCACCCCCTCCTTTAAAAAAATCCTTTTTACTTGAGAGAGTCTCATTAGGTCTTCTAGGCTGGGCTCAAACTTGCAATCCTCCTTCCTCAGCCTCCCAGAGTGATGGGGTTTATAGGTGTGTGCTACCATGCCTGGCTTTTATTGCTCCTTATAGTATAACATTGGCTACCTCAGTTTGTTCCCTGCACCTGGTCCCAATGACTCACAATGAAGTCCACAATAGTATGGTGAACTATATGGAGTATAATGTCCAATAATTTGGTGTATCTGCTCATGGGAAAGAGGTACAGTTGAACTAGAAATATGTTAAGCCTTTCATTCCTGAAGGAATGTGTTTATTCTGGCAAGAATTTTCCATTAAGATAGCAAGGTCATTGAGTAACGGCATGTTACACAAAATACACCTATACCAATTCTTGCTTTTAAAATCTGCATAAAGCAAAAATCTCATAGCTTAGTGCTGATGGACTGTCTCAATATTTTCACTTTAATAAGATTCAGAACTCAAACTAGGTTTTATGATAACCGGAAAGTACTGAGTCATGGATTTCTTTTTTTCTTTTTTCACTGGTTGCCCTCCTTTAGGTCACGGGGAACTACTGCAAGAACATATTTTCCATTGAAATATGTATTAGGAATTGAGTGTGAGGAGGAGGTAGTAGACATTCAGAAGACAATTCCCCTCCTTAGTCTCTCTCCCATGTATTATTTTCTCTCAAAATGTAAGTGAACATTCTTCCAGGGCCTAGCAGTTAGCACGCTATACAACTTCTTTCCTTCTTGGTGCCTCCTCTGCTTTGTACTTCAGACAAGCAATGGCAAAAAGTCTGGAACCTTCTTGAAACTGCCCTGGTAAGTGGCCAGTGAACCAATTTCCTCTTTCCCGCTTTCAGGGCTACGTTATTTGATACCATGCTCATTCCAAAATTGGTTTCAAAGCCATAAAGAAACATCTGCTGGATGTAATGAACTGCAGACCAGAAATATTTTACATTTCCAAAGATCCAAGCCAGCACACAGTGCAGAAATAATCAAAAGAACATGGTTCATACCACAGCCAACAACCCATTACCTCGCCTGACCCAATGGCAAGCAATTGTTCAAGTTCTTTCCCCTCTGCTCCTCAAAATCCCATGTGCTGGTCCTCCCATGGCCACCCTTCCAACACTCCCAGACTTCCCACCTCCGACATGTGTAAAGACACAATTGGACAGAGTCTCCTGAAAGAAATCTCCTGAGCTGCTCTACAAAGAACGGCTTCCGGCTTGTTGTCCAAGGCATGGTCTTTCCGATACAGCCACATCGTCTGTCACGGGCATGACCATCTCCAGCAAACACTCACTTCCCACTCCCCTGTGGATTTCTCCTTTTCCATCCTGCTAGCGTGTCCTTCGTGCTATGTTTATTTTTTAAAATTAGGGATCTGTTCTGCTGTATTTTCTCCAGACCTCCGTTAGCTCTGTGATCATTTTTCCAGCTGGTCAGTGAATTTCAAAGGTACTGATATCATTCCAGTTATTGGTGATGCCTGTTATTTGTTTCATCATAAAGAATATGAAAGTGGTCTGCTACACTGTATGCTTCCCTAAGAGATGAGGGGCACTTCTCATGACACTAGGGTCTACTGGAAGACGGGGACCTGATCGATGATTCACCCTGGTAACAATGAGGTCAGCACAGAGATGGAAATGTGTGGAATCAAGGGACCTCTGTACCCAGTGATTCCAGCTCTGCTTAAGTATCCCTACGATCTTTCATAAATCACAACTTCTCTACTCAATTTTCCTGTCTATAAAAATAGGTATATTAACAATAGCCTTGGGGAGTCGGCGATCAGAAGGCCCTTGGTTCAATCCCCAGCAATTTCAAAACCAAACAACAGAAAAGAAACAACACCCTTAATTCCTGTTACCTATGAAGTGGAAAGGTCATGGCAACTGGTATAATGGTGCATTTTTACACCAACTATTCATAACTGCCTCTCACCTGGTTTTATTTGCTCTGATGCTGGGACCTGAACCCAGGGCCTCATGAGTGGCAAGTACACACTCTATGACTAGATACAACCACACCCACAGCTACTGCCCCTCACACACATAGTTTCATAAGGCCACCTCTGCTCTCTTCTAAGGGTCAGTGGGATCATTTCTCCTACAGGACAGCTCTCAGTGTTTTGGTCCTGGAACTCCCTTACACACTTCACCTTTTTTTTTTTGGTACCAGGGATTGAACTCGGGTCTTTGCGCTTTCGAGGCAGGCGGCAAAACCACTGAGCTAAATCCCCAGCCCTACACTTAACCTTTCTAAAAAATTCCCAAAGACCTTTTGGCATGTGTGTATATGTATGTGCATATATATGAGTATATATGTGTGTGTGTGTATATTTGCTGATGTTTCTACATTTGATATTAAAACTGAACACTATTCATTTGATAAGAATAAACATCTTCAATAAATATTTTTTTGGGAAAAAAATCTCCCAATGCCCCCCCAAAAGATAAGTAGCATCTTTTTACATTTTTGAATCAGTCTTTAAAGCCCAGCTTAGTGAAAGGTGTCTGGATTCTCACATCTGCTTCCGCACTGGATCGCCTGCAGTATTACACGTCACGTCCTCTCTGGGACACTGCGCTGAATTCTCACGAGAGAATGACTTCCAGGTAAATAACATCTCAGTGACACTATGAAAACAGTTTTGATCTCCTAGGCCTCTGGAAAGGTTTTGAGGCTCCCAGATGTTCAGGAACCACACTTTGAAACCCAAGGCTTTAAGATTTCTCCAAAGTACCACCTAATGGACCTGAAAAAGCACTTTTCAGTTCCATAGGCAATTCCATTCCAGAGTCCTATGGAAAGAACCAAACATGCTCTGCTGGTGACTCTTCACCTAACTCTGTTCATTTTAGTGTAGTTTTGCAGCCTTTCATAAAAACTGGGACTTACTCCAATGATATAACCACAGTTCAGTTATACTGCAATGACAAGGAATAAATTCACCACTTAGAAAGCCTTGCCTGGCCAGGGTCTTCCATCCTTTGTTCCTAGCTGCCACATATAAAGGGGGAGCAGGTCTCCCCACTTTGGCTCTGCTATGGGAAGATGTGGTTTCCCTTATTACTCCTTTGCTATCTACATCCTCTTCCTGAGACCACCTCAGCGTAGGTTATTCTGTGAGTAGGGTGT